GAGGTATTAGTTTTAATAACAACGCTGGAATACTATAATATAAGGTGAAGGTTATATTTGATACAAAACAAGGCAGAAATGATTAGATGATCATTTTATTTGAGATATACGTAATTGTTCGGTAGTTTTTGTACAGCTACAAGATTTTTCAATGGATGGATGTCAGGCGGTGTATTGACGTTAGTCACACAGCCTGGTCGGGTTAACTAATTACTTGCTAACAAACACTGGGTTATATAATAATATCAAGTTTAATATATATTCAGTTGACTATTTTCTTAATATTAACAGGTAAATAAACCAACAAACAAAATCGTCCTCAATTCCATTGACATCAGTATTAAGAAAGCAACATTGACAGTCGGTGAAAAAAGTAAGTCTAGACAAAACAGGTCTTTATATAGAATTAGTTTGATATCACAGTAATTTCTTATTTGAATGAAAATATAATAGTCAATGCATTGTAATAGTTATTACCATTTTTGCCATTTTGATGCTATGGTGGCTGTACATAGACTTACACTTACTTATGTGCTGTTTTCCCAATTTTTGACATCGCCTTGACATCGTCAAGTTGAGCTATTGCCATGGGGTGTCGTCCGTCCGTCCGTCAACATTTGGCTACGGTCAACGATAACTCAAGAACCGTTTGACCCACATGTTTCAAATTGCATATATAGTTGTTACTCCTATGGGAGAGATTTGAACGTCCTATTTTGGAGCACGCCAGTCGACCTACATTCGAGCAAGTCTACTTTTTGGCAAAAATGGAAATGGCCATAAGTCAGTTCAGGTTCAATGGATTTTGCTCATTTTGGTATGTGAATGAATAACGACTGGCCTCCAAAACATATCACAGGGGTTTTGATATTTTTTTCAAATTATGCAAATTAGGTAGATTTTGGCAATTTTACTATGCATTTCAGTGTCTGCTTATGGTCAACGATAACTCAAGAACCGTTTGACCCACATGTTTCAAATTGCATACAGTTTATACTTCTATGGGAGAGAGTTGAACGTCCTATGTTGAAGCACGCCAGTCGACCTACTTTCGAGCCACGCCCACTTTTTGGCAAAAATGGAAATGGCCATCTAGATTCATTCGATTTTGTTAAATTTACCTACCTACATAATCATACCTACGTGTAATATTGTGTTTTAGATTCTTCGTTACAGTAATTTGACTGGAATATTTTATTTCGTTTATTTGGACGATAATCGAAAACCAAAATGGCGATCATTTAGGTGTAGCGCCATCTCTCGCCCAGATTTCAGACTTTTAGCATTTATTTTCGCATCAAAACTAACCCTGAAACAAAACAGTGAAATTTCTATTAGTATAAAACAGGGCATAAGGACATTTGATCACATTTTGGTCCATCATAAATGAAACACTTACCAAATTTTTAATATCATCTCCCTCTTCTATCACACCCAAGGTGAGCTATAGTGTTATTGACACTTTCATTTTATTAAGGTGCTAGTAAATGCAGTCTCCTATACCCAGGGTTTGACACTAACCCACGTCCGACCGACCTAGTCGGGTAAATGCTTGGTCCGGTCGCATACAACCAGAGTGCTAGTATCCCGACTGGTCGTGTTATAATTGGTCATATATATTGCAATGAAAGGTCACCTCTGGCTAGACTGGTTCGCGGCCGCACTGTTTGTCGCAGAGCGTGTACATTGTCTAGCAGAGCGTGAGGCCGGATACCAGTCTACCCTTCGGCAAAAACAATAACGTGGCTTGCTGCCAGCCGCAGTAGACGATCGATAAACCGTGCGCTCAGCTTGCTGCCAGCCGCAGTAGACGATCGATAAACCGTGCGCTCGTGTATGCCCGTGGTAAAATACGAATGCTGCACGTGAACTCGGCCCACGCGCGATTTAAAGCGTGGGAAACAGCATCTATGAATTCATACGATGACACACTCTTATCTAAATAAAGTTTTTCATAACAATGGTCTGGGCTAGTGAAAGTTAGGTCAGGGCTAGTGGTTTTCCTCAGTTACTAACCCGATGGTCTAGTGAAATAAAAAGTTAATGTTGAACCCTGCCTATACCATATAATTTAATATTTATGTCATACATTTCAGATCAGAAAAAAATTGGGTAACATTTTGAAATTAAACATCTTAAAGCGTAACAAGTACCATCGGTAGCTAATATCGGATCCATGAAATATAATGTAAGTTGTGACAGATAGTAAGGTAATCCCACTAAACTAAATACCTCCCCAATTTCAAACTAGTGAAGCTGTTAGTGTTAGCACATTGAAGATCTCATTCTCCTGCACTCCATCTTTTCACAACACAGCTGAGGATGCTGTTGTTAGCTACTGCATGGAAGATGAGACGGCAACGCTAGGCTTTGCAGAGTCTGTTGCCGCCGGTGACGCTAAGCTGTGCATCGACTTTGAGGGGGAACTGAATGACAAGATGAAGGGATTCTATCACAGCAAGTACTTCACACCAGACGGAGAGGAGCGATACGGCGCTGTAACACAGTTTGAGGTTCATATCTCGTATTCTAGTAGTGTCCAATGGCAGGGATGCGTTTACTGTTGGCGTATGTGTCTTCATATTCCTTCTCCTCTTATTCTTTTTGTTCTTCTTGTACTTCCTCTTCTTCTACTTTTAGTTCTTCTTTCTTTTATCTCTCCTTTTCTTCATTTTTTTTTGTCCCTCTTTTCCCCTTCTCTTCCTTCCTCTTCATTGTCTTTTTCTTATTTTCTTGTACTCCTTTTCGTTCTACTGGGAAGTGTACAACTAATTGTGTGTAGAGACTTACATCTCTGCAAAGAATACCATATTATGGCAATGTTTTGGACCAAGATTTGCATTTAGTAACAATGGAAAAACAAAGTGTCCGGTATGTCATGGTGTTGGAAAGCAAGAAAGGCTGGCCGTGCTCAGTCTGTCTTTGCAGCATCCATTCTTTTCCAGCGTCCGGCGGCTGAGGGGGTGACTACCTTGACAACTGGGTCTTCTCAGGGGGGGAAGTGGAAATATTCCGCTGTCACTATGTTTGCGGTACGTCCCCTGGGAGTCCTCAACTGTCACACTATGCTTGTGGTGTGTTTCCTAGTGGGAGGGGGTTCAGCTGTTGCTACAAATTGACTGCTGTAGTTAGTTGTCACTGAGAGTGAGTTAATTTTATCAGCTGTCAGTATTTCAAGGTGACACTGAGTCAGCAAATAAGCTGTAGTTGTGTGCAGTTCCTTTGCTCAGAGCCTTACCAGTTTGTGGCAGGTCACTGGAGGCTGTGTTTGTCTACATGTAGAAAACCTGAGAGCTCAATCAATGAGTTGGCTGCAAAGCCAAAGGTGTGTGCTGACCCTCTGACACTTTATATTGCAGTCGACAGATGCGAGACGGGCATTCCCTTGCTGGGATGAGCCTGCACTGAAGGCAACATTCGATGTGACTCTCGTTGTCCCAGAAGATAGAGTGGCACTTTCTAACATGGTAAGTAATTTGCCTCATGGTGTGTGCATGACGTCCACGCACGATTGGTTACGATAGGTAATCGTAGGTGGCTGGATGGTGCTGATGGCATGATTAGTTTGGTTACAGACATGGCAAAATGCTCTTAGTGTATATTGTCATGGTGTAAAATTAATAAAATTTTGGGTTGGATTCAAAGATCGCACAAGAAAGATGTGTTACTAAGACACTGGAGTGCATAATTATAACACTAACAGTGAGATGTTTAGATACCAACTCTTTACCTCATTCACGAGCCTATTTATGTTGAAGTAATACATTTATACTTATTTGTTTAAATCAACACGACTTCTTTAACTCAACAAATAAACTCTGCTGCTTTCATAATATTTTTGCCAAAAAATCGGAAGAATCACAAGAAACTCTTACAAGCATTTAAATTTTAATGATCCGGATACAAACGAGTGAACGTAATCATAGTTAACAGTGGTTTTCTAATGATAAAACAAACTGTAATTTTGTATTCCAAGTTGATTCATTACAAAAATTTCCCATTATTTAAAAATCATGTTATCTACACTATACTCATGCAGTTAATATGTTATATTGTTTTGCTTTTGAGCTAGGAGTCTTTACACTGTTTTAAGCACTTGCGTACGCTTATTATTAAAGGACAATTGAAGTGAAATTTCATAACTTCTGTAACGTTTTTATACATAGAAATACATTCAATAACGTATTCCATTTCAAATCCGGCGCCCAATTAGTAATAAACACATGAATAGTAATCTAGTTCATGTGACGTCACATCCCCATGTTGAGCGACGGACGCCACGCTATCGCAAGTTGAGTGTTGTGTATAAGATGGAAACGGACAGCGATAATTTCAATGATTCTAGTGATTACTCAGATGATGATGATATTTATAGTGATTTACCAGTTGGATATATATAGGTTTGAGCCTGAATATACACAAGAAGAAATTGAGGAGAATAGTCTGAAAAAGCAACGCAAAGAGTCAGCACAAACTTCTCAAGAATTAGAACAGTCACAACATGGCGGAATGGAAGCTTCGGTACCCGATAGGACTGTAGACAAATACTGGTGTTCTTGTGGTGTTTGTGAATTAATGAGTACAGCACCTGAATGTATATGCTGCCATGAGAATGAGAAGACCAGGATTATTGTAGACCAGTTCGACGCTAGACCAGGTTAGTCATGCGAGTACACTGATCACCGGGCTTATCACGCTCGGTCAGAATCATGTATCTGTACATGTACATGTATCTACGCACGGCAAGTCATGTACATATACCGTGAATGCATTATCCACACAGGTAATATGTATGTACATGAATATAAGTACATTTACAGGCTACATGTGTTTGTGTCTTGACTTGATAAATAAGCATGAGAAATAACAAAAACATCGAATATTTAACCACCGCACACACTATGTTTACATAATGGCATCGCTCAACATGGGGCTGTGACGTCACATGACCTAGATTACTATTCAGTTATTTCTATTGTGTTTATTACTAATTGGGCGCCAGATTTGAAATTGAATACGTTATTGAATGTATTTCTATGTATAAAAACGTTACAGAAGTTATGAAATTTGACTTCAATTGTCCGTTAACATGTGCAGACATTCAATCTTCCACTTGGTGGATTGAGCCCTTTCTTTATGTCTGTGTATTTACCTCTGCTGCTAGTTGATTGTCTGGTAAGGTGATATTGCTTCTGCTTGGTGTCTTCGTTTGATATCCTTGTATGGTGCTTAGCCAGTGCAGGTGGAGAAAGTGCTGGGGGATGGTTGCAAGGAGGTGCATTACTTGACGACGCCTATCATGTCCACCTATCTGCTGGCGTTCGTCGTAGGAGAGTACGACTACGTTGAGGGAAGGTCTTCCGATGGAGTCCTTATCCGAGTCTACACGCCCGTCGGAAAGAAGGAGCAAGGCCAGTTTGCATTGGAGGTGAGCGTTGTTGTATGGTGGAAGTCTTTCTCTGTTTTTAGCTCGCCTTGACATCGTCAAGATGAGCTATTGCCATGGGGTGTTGTCCGTCTTACGTCTGTTCGTCCGTCCGTCCGTCCGTTAACATTTGGCTACGGTCAACGATAACTCAAGAACCGTTTGACCCACATGTTTCAAATTGCAAATAGTTGTTACTTCTATGGGAGAGGTTTGAACGTCCTATTTTGGAGCACGCCACTCGACCTACTTTCGAGCCACGTCCACTTTTTGGAAAAAATGGAAATGTCCATCTAGATTCATTCGATTTTGTTAAATTTACCTACCTACTTACCTAATCATACCTACGTGTAATATTGTGTTTTAGATTCCTCGTTACAGTAATTTGACTAGAATATTTTATTGCTTTGCGCGATAATCAAAAACCAAAATGGCGATCATTTAGGCATAACATCATCTCTCACCCAGATTTCAGACTTTCAGATCTGAAACATTTATTTTCGCATTAAAACTAACCCTGAAACAAAACAGTGAAATTTCTATTAGTATAAAACAGGGAATAAGGACATTTGATCACATTTTGGTCCATCATAAATGAAACACTTACTAAATTTCATTAAGGTTAAATATCTAGATTTTAAATAACATCTCCCTCTTCTATCACACCCAAGGTGAGCTATAGTGTCATTGACACTTTCATTAGTAATAGCCATTGCATAAAAGCCATTGTCACTGTTTAGTCAATGGATGTGCTTGTGTGTGGAGTGACTTTTAGCATTCGAGTGTTTAAGGTGTAATGAAAACCAGGGAAGTGAACAGTGCAATGACAGTGTCCACTGAAGATGTGCATTGCGCATGCATTGCATCAGTCTGCGAAATTAACCACTGGCCCGGTATCCGAGGCCAGTAAATTTTCCGTGGGGCCAATGAAACTGGTAAATGAACAAGCCCGATGGCCCAGTGGAAAAAAATGGAGTAAATGGTATATTAATGATATTTCAGCTTCTTTATGTGATGATCAGTCTGAGAGTTTACCGAAATGCCCAATATTTTGTATGAAAATTTAACGATATTTACCGATAGGGCATCATATTCCCGATCTTAAGTAGGGGAAGCAACTAGTCAACACCATGCGTGTTTGTCGCCGCTAGAAGTCGCAACAACTTCCCGTTTCCGGTCCGGTTCGGTTTCTCTTTTCATAATATGATGATCATTGATTCGGGCCTGTAAAACCTAGTGTGGGCCAGTGAATTATACATTTCTACAGGCCCGCTGGGCCAATGAGGGTGGAAGTTTTTCGTGCAGACTGTTGCATTGCATTGATCTCTATGGTAAACAATTAGTACCAGTGTTTCCCCTGGCCAAATAGGTCTGTGAGGTGTTAAATATTTTTGTATGTGTTTGCGCATTTCAAGGTCCTAGCAAAACGAGCACTGCAGGTGCTCGCCCAGCTAGGGGAGTCCGGCGGCAACCCCCACCAGAAAAAATGGTGCAATTTGGTGCATTCTAAGCTATTCTGAACACATTGTATGAGACTTTAGTTCAATATAGTCTAGTTTATTGATGGAAGAACAGTGATTTTCGTCAGCGAGGGGGTGTTTCGGACAAATTTCTGTGTGGCGGCTGAGAATTTGAGCGAGGCGGCTCGCCTCACTCGTGTCAATGCAGGGGAAACACTGAGTAGTGAGTACTTTAGGTGATTGTTGCTTTATACTTATAGTAGAAATCTATACTAAAGAGTCTTTCAATGGCAGTTGTGTCTCTTTAGTAGGCAGAATTATTCTCATGGGGATGGGAGCATCTTACAGCTTTGTTTGGTTTATAATTTATTATGCAGTAAACACTTTGTTAACCCTTCTTTTACATTGGTAAAGTGATGGCTAGTGGTAAGTAAGGGGGTTTCTTACATTACATGGTTGGTGGAAGTGGTAGTATTTTATGAGTGACTGTTTAGGTGTATGTATACCAGGTTAAAGGTAAGTATCGGTCACAAGTGCTCTGATATTTCAGGTAGCTGTGAAAACACTGCCATTCTACAAGGATTACTTTGGGATTGGCTTTCCACTCCCAAAGAGCGATCTGATTGCAATAGCAGACTTTGCCGCAGGTAAGCACAGCCATAGTCTCGAGTATACACTGTCATTCGTCATTCCAGGTTGCTTGTAAAACGTTACCATTCTACATGAAATACTTTGGCTGCAGTTACCCACTGGCAAAATGTGACCTCATCGCGATAGCAGACTTTGCACTAGGTAATTGTAGGTATGGCTGCCAACCAAGAGAGCTGTATTGTACCTGTTAGACACAATGGTAGTCTGTAGGGGATACAAGTCTTAGCACATAGTCAGATTCCTCATAGTCGAAGATGAACAATAATACAGTTTTACAAGTAGTAGTCTGGTTTAGCTTTACTGAATTTATAGTAGCATCAATATTATGGTATGTTTTGTCGAATGACTATGTAAAGAAATAAGTAGATTTTTAGCTCGCCTTGACATCGTCAAGATGAGCTATTGCCATGGGGAGACGTCCATCCGTCCGTCCGTCCGTCAACATTGGGCTACGGTCAACGATAACTCAAGAACCGTTTGACCCACATGTTTCAAATTGCATATAGTTTGAACGTCCTATTTTGGAGCACGCCAGTCGACCTAATTTCGAGCCACGTCCACTTTTTGGCAAAAATGGAAATGGCCATTAGTCAGTTCAGGTTCAACGGATATTGCTCATTTCTGGTATGTGAATGAATGAGGACTGGCCCCAACACATATCACACAGATATTTTTTTTTAAATGATGCAAATTAGATAGATTTTGGCAATTTCACTATGCATTTCAGTGTCTGCCTACGGTCAACGATAACTCAAGAACTGTTTGACCCACATGTTTCAAATTGCATACAGTTGTTACTCCTATGGGAGAGGTTTGAACGTCCTATTTTGGAGCATGCCAGTCGACCCACTTTCGAGCCACGTCCACTTGTTGGCAAAAATGGAAATGGCCATAAGTCAGTTCAGGTTCAACCGATTTTGCTCTTTTCTGGTATGTGAATGAATAAGGACTGGCCCCAAAACATATCACACGGGTTTTGATTTTTTTTTTAATTATGCAAATTAGGTAGATTTTAGCAATTTCACTATGCATTTCAGTGTCTGCCTACGGTCAACAATAACTCAAGAACTGTTTGACCCACATGTTTCAAATTGCATACAGTTGTTACTCGTGTGGGAGTGATTTTAACGTCCTATTTTGGAGCACGCCAGTCAACCTACTTTCGAGCCACTCCAACTTTTTGGCAAAAATGGAAATGCCCATAAGTAAGTTCAGGTTCAACGGATTTTGCTCATTTTTGGTAACAGGTGAGATACCATTCCTGCAATCATCACAGGTAAGTTTATCATTCGGGCAATCATCACAGGTGAGATTACCATTCCTGCAATCATCACAGGTGAGTTTATCATTCGGGCAATCATCACAGGTGAGATTACCATTCCTGCAATCATCACAGGTAAGATTACTAGTTATGAAACAATGTGATATTACTAGTTATGTGATCTCTAACCAGTTTTACGAGAATCATAGGCAAGTTTTATGAAAATCATAACTGAGTCCATCGCTATCATAATGAGGGCTGAGTTTATTGTACTACAATAACCTCAGGTAATTTTTCACTATTTTTACAATAGCTACCAGTATATATGCACATACCTGGAACAAATGTTAAATAGTTTTACTCTTCTGACTTATTATCACTGTCATACTACATGACTATACATCAGGTTCCCCACCCCCATGCCAGATTAAACATGCTTCTATCAGTTGCCTACCATGGTGACCAGGTTGCCAAACCACTGGTGAGCGAGTTCATGTCCAACTACCAGCGCCACCCATTGCTTGGTAGCCGAACTAGAGTTCTTCTGGTCGATCAGCAAGGCTGTCTCACGATATGTCACTAAGCCCCAGTTTTCCATCGCACCTAAAGATGCAAATTATCACTGTAATGGCATCACACAAAATTTATTATTGCATGTACACAATGAGACGAAAGGTTCTGTTAATACTGGAGACTTGGCCCCTACTCAAACATTAATCCTCAATCCAAATCAACAAAATAATATTTAAATGAAAGTGTCAATGACACTGTACCTCACCTTGGTGTGATAGAAGGAAGGGGGGATATATAAAGCAAGAGTATATATGGAGAACTCCCATTATATAGCATATCTCCCATTATATACTCTGATAATGATATATGCATAAGTTTTGATGCAAAAATAAATGTTTCAGATCTGAAAGTCTGAAATCTTGATGAGAGATGGCGCTACGCCTAAATATCGCCATTTTGGTTTTCGAATATCGCGCAAATAAAAACAATAAAATATTCCAGTCAAATTACTTTAAAGCAATCTAAAACACAATATACACGTATATAGGTTATGACTAGCTGCGGGGTACCCGCTGCGCTGGGTAAAATCGTGGCTAAA